TATATCAAAGAAATATTGTGTTTGTAACATGCTAACCTAAGACTTCTAGTTAATTAAAATTACAGTTTTAACAATGGAATTGCCTGTATGATAATATTTTATAGCTTAGTTCTTGTTAATTTGTTTATTTTTCTAAATAAATTTACTCAGTTATGTTTATAAAAATATTGGGTACAATTTATTTCTTGTGTGATACCCCCAACATTGTTGACATTGAGGGTCAGTTGCTTGGATCCTGTCTTGATACTTTCAAGTACAGAATTTTCTGAGACACCTTCTCCGGACAGTGACTCCGTGAATGCTGTGGAAGGACACTCTGAGCCATCCTGGTTTAAAGACAAAGTTTGATGACAGTGACACAGAACAGATAGCTGAAGAAGGTGACGATAATTTGGCTAGTGAGTTTTACTTTCTAACATTTTAGTTTTTATGGATCATTATGTGTGTATGATGAAATGAGTGCCTTATTTATTTCATTGAAAAAAACTCTGCTTTAAAATTTATGGCTTCAACCGGATGTAAACATCTAGTAGCAATCCTTGTCTTAGATACAGTGTTTTTTTGAGATACTAACTTGTTAGGCAACTGTTGTTTTCAGATTTTACCGTAGTCTATAGTTTGCAGCAGCTTAAAAATAACTCTCAGCAAATAATATCATAGCAGATAACTTTCTCACCTCTTCCCTATGATATCAGACTTTCTTTCTGCAGAACCTCCGATATACTTATTCATTTTAAAAATTGATTTTATATTTAATTTTGTTCAAATTTTATTAAGTCTACACAGAAGTACATGAAAATACTGTATCCATTTTGGTATTGCACATTGGGCTTGTATATTAAAAAACATTTTTCTCCTTTTCCTCCAATACCCTGATAAAACCCATTTTTACTCCCCTCCTCTCCCTATATTTCTGTCCCCTCTCCAACACTAAAAGATTCTGCCAGTCCTAGCAAGCACACCTCAGTCAGCAGTTTCCAGTCCACAGTGGACAGTGACTCAGCTGCGTCTATCAGCCTGAACATGGAGCTGGACAACATGAACTTCCATATCAAGAAGCCCTCCAAGTACCCATATGTGGCCACTCACCCTGCTGACCAAAAAGGTAGGAGGTAGTCACTATCTGGAATCCAAATAGGCTGGAGAGCTGGGCTCTCATGCCAGCTTGTCCTTCTGGCTTCCTCTGTTCCAGTATGGCTGAGGGGATTTTATGTGGGTTTTGTTTCACCCTTTCTCATTTTCCCCACACCTCCTCCCTACACCATTTTGGTTGGTTCTTTTTGTTTCTTGTATTCTCCCTCAGTATCACCATGCCCAGTTTAAAGCTTGTAGTTTTTTAAAAGGACCTACATCTGACTGTTCTTCCCATAATGTGCAACTTCCAAGATGGCATTTCGTTGCATTTATAACATGGATGTTCTGCTCTATTCTTTTCTCTTTGTTTAACATTTTAAATCCTATTCACCTATGCTATTTTATAATTACATATTTATTTAAACCTGTTCAGATGATTGAATTAAATTAGGTGAGATTATTCACACATTTAAAACATCTTTCTACTGGAGTTTAAAAGGCCTATTATACATACAGTATATTTACTAAAAAATTCTTCTCTAATAAAAAGTGAATTAATTTGTTATTTTTAGTTATGTTGATATTAGTCTACTTATATAATAATAATAATAATGGCCGTATCCAAATTGCATTTGATGTAAAAGGAAAAATTAGATAAATCATTTTTAAAATCTAAGATAGCAGTACATAAAAAATAAAATGCCACTGGATGTATGACTACTTGGATTGAATGTTTGTATGTGAATACCAGATTTCATGCATTTTTTGAAATATCAATTCAATCCATTATTTAAAATAGTAACCTGTTATATTTTTTATTCACCATATAGTCTATTCATGCATCATCTCTATATATGTAGACCCAGGGTACACCTATTTTAATCCCCAAACCCTAAATGATAGGGTTTCAGAACATGATCCAAAAAATGGTGAAAGAAATACGCATGTCACCTGCTCCATGTATTGCTTTCATCACATCATCTTCTGGACACAAAATGCAAAATTCACACTTAACTTATTCTTCTACCAAAGCCTAATTTTAATAAGAGCATGGACTACTAAAATCATCTATATCTGTGTTGCTTTTTGTTTTCACATTTCAATCCTATGTTGAGTATACACCTGTTTCTTTTTAGGATAGGGTAATTCAACCACCCCCCTGTTCAAAATATCCCTGATCTTGTCACTCATTTTGTACATTCCAGATCTCCTATCATCACAATTGATATCTATTTCCCCAAGTGCCTTGTTGTGACAGACTCTTCATGTGTGCTGGCATTCCCATTTACACTCCAAAAGAAATTCATTCCATTGCAAAAAGGGCCTTTTGTCCAAATCCTAAACTCACACTTCTTCCTTACCCTACGCTGGAATCCTGCCTACTACCTCAATTTCACTGGAAGTTCTCTTTTACATTCAGTAGTCCCAGGTACAAGATCTTATGCCATTGTATGTGGATTTAGAGGATTCAACTCTGCAGAGCATAAATCAAAACTATGTATCCAAGTCAAGGGCCCAACACCCTTGTGTGCTTCAGATCTTACCTGCTTTTCTATTTTCATACTTACATTTCACCTTACATTCTATAAATATCCCAGTTGCCCAATACCCGTATTCATCCAGCAGAATGACTCCTAACCCAAATCGAACCTGATATGACCCTTAACCCTACTCTGTTCCCTCCATCTATTTTCACATAACAGCAGGTACTGAGTTCATCTTGCCATGCAGGTATGTAGGGAATTTCACAGCTGCTGAGAAGCTCAAAGGTAGATGCAGAAATGATCCCTGGAGCGAATGTAGGCAGCTAAATAGGACCTGTGAGGTCTAAAGTCATCTTCCATGGCCAAAAACCCAGTCAAGATGAAGGGATGTGGCTGAATCAGCCTCCCTCTTCTCAATGCAGGGAAGATGGACATAATCAGGTTTGTGTGGGTTTCTGATCCCAGGCTCCTAGGGTATATGGACCTTTATGTCTTGGGAAAATGTCCCAGGAAGGTGGGGCAGCCTCCATCTCATGGGACCCTTGGAAACAACTGTTAGGAAAAAGTGGTTGCCAAGACAGTGACCTCATTCACTTCCCTGAAGGAAGTGACCTCACCTCACTTCCTTGGTGATGGAACTCTCTGAACTTGGGATCCAGGAGTCGAGGCACCCACAGGCAGTTCCAGTCCCAGTGGGCTCACTTGTTTTTCTGTACCAAGGCCAGAGTTATTCTTTATTGGCACCTAGTGATGTGTGGATAGCCAAATGCCTTGAATGCTCTGAACAAGGGCCTTACCTGAGAAAGAAGTATTGGCTCATTGCTGGCTCCTGATAACTACACAGAGATGGCCAAGGAGACAAGAGCTGAGACAGGACAAGCCACTGCTAAGGAAAATATCTTCACCCACCAGTCAGAGGACAGAGTGGATAGATGCAGACCAAATACAGGGGTAGTTTGTGTGTCTTAGTGGATGTGTTTTTCAATTTCTCGTTTTGTCTCATGTTCTGAGAGCATGAATGAAAAACGTATTTTTTTTTCTTGTTATTGTTGGTTTGAAATGGACTGTTAACTATTGAGTCTTTCTATGTCAGTGGATCCCACTGGGTTTGTGGTTAAAGAGAGTAGAGAGAAGAATGCAGCCGTGAATGTATCCTGTCTAGTGGAAATCTTTGCAGGACTCCTCATGGCCAGTTTATGAATGGACTGCTGCTTGCCTTGCAGATGGGCAACACCTACCAAGATCCTAAGTTCCTGTATTCTTCCCGAATTTTGGCCACTCTCTGAAGGGGTTCCTGGTTTTGTGTCCAAGATGTGTACCACCATCAAGCTCTGTGACATGGCCATGGACTGGATTGCTGAAGGGAATGCCAAGCATCTCAGAAAAGTAAAAAATTAGCGTGACTGGTAAGGATC